CTCTGAGTATTGATGCACAATTTCACTTTAGTTTCTAGAAGGCAACAGTTTTCTCTTGCCTTTTGGCATTCCTAGTACCAGTCTCTGTAACTAAAATACTTTCTCAGCCACCTCTTCACCTCGACAATTCCTATCCATTTTTATTTTTTATTTTTAGCTTTACAGGAGGTCACTGCTAGGAAAGTTCCCTGCCCTCCCAGATAAGGGCCCCTTTACATATTCCTTTAGTATGAACCCTCCCCCACCCCCACCCCATCTATCCCTTAGCACACTGCATTGCAATGGACTTGTTAGGTTCCTAAGAAGAGAGATGATCATATGCATGCTCTACCCTCCCGCACAGCGGGGTATTCAGTAACTGTTTGCTACGTGCAGGAATGCGGCCTGTCAATAAGGTGGAATCCTGCCCAGGCATGTTCAGAGTCATTCTGGAAGAGCCTTCCTGCTTCCTGAGGTTCTTCTGCAAAGAGAAATACACTGCTTATGGGCTATATCCATCTGCCTAGAAATTAAATGAAATCAAATGATTTGTGGGTTTTGGTTCTTGTTAATTAAGATAATATGAGCAAAGGAAACCCACAGGTATAAAAACCTCTATTGAACTTACTTTTTATTTCCTTCTAAACAAATAATCATGAGAGAGGATTATTAATTTTTGATGAACTTGACTTGTCCCCTAATATAACCTCAAAGAACAGCAAATGAAATCAAGAAACAGAAGGACCAAGAAAAGAAGTCCAGGTGAACGTGTTAATGTGCAGGTTTTTATACCCTGAGTCAGCAGCAGTTAAAACATTCTCCATCGCTCAAATATTGGATATGATAAAACCTATTCTTAGCTTTTGGAACTGAAGCTCAATTTCTTATGTAAGATTTGCTTTCTCTGTGTTTTTCATTTAAAACTTATGGAAAGTATATTTTTTAAAAAATGTGAAAAGCCCACCAGCCTCTGAGATATATATATATATCTGTGTGTGTGTGTGTGTGTGTGTGTGTGTGTGTGTGTATCACAGAGGAAGGGAGAGAGAGTTAGAAACATCAATGATGACAGAGAATCATTGATCAGCTGTCTCCCTGCACATCCTCTACTGGATATCGAGCCCTCACCCCAGGCATGTGCCCTTGGCCAGAACCAAACCTGGGACCCTTCTGTCTGCAGGCCGATGTTCTATCCACTGAGCCAAACCAGCTAGGGCCAGCCTCTGATCTTTGTGACTCTCTTACAACCAATCAATGACCCCCCAGCTCCAGGACCTTTCCTAAACGGAGGTGATCAAGTTAAAGGTCCTCCCCGAGTTAGAGGATACAAATAAAATAAAAATTGGTTTCCTTTATTTTCTTTAAAAAATGTTTTTATTAATTTATTTTAGAGATAGAGAGGAAGGGAGAGAGATTGAGATATAGAAACCTCCATGTGAGAGAAACATCATTGATTGGCTGCCTCCTGCACACCCCCTACTAGGGATCGAGCTCAAAGCTCAGGCACCTGCCCTGACCAGGAGTTGAACCCGTGACCTCTTAATTTATAAGTTGATGCTCACCCACTGAGTCACATCAGCTGGGCTCCTTTATTTTCTATGACTTAAAAATACCAGTTGTCAAGTCCTTGCACATCCACAGAAGACAGAATTACAAACCAAAGGAAAGGAAGTGGGGGGGGTGGAGAGGGGAAGGCATTTCCCCTGCCTCTAGCAGAGGGAACTTACCGAGGTCCAAAGGAGGACCATGCCCTTCTAACAGCTCTCCCAATTTTCATCCCAACGTTGTTAGTGGGAGGACATCATGGGCACATGGAAGGATAAGCCTCTATTTTGAAATCTCTTTTCCTGTCATGCCTCACAGAAAGCAAGAAGCACTGCCTAATAAGTAAGGTCTCTGATCTGAAATGCAGGACAAAGGAATCCAGATCCTGGGAAACACTCAGAAAGCAAATCGAAATGACAGCTTCGTAGTGCTCTCCTTGGGAGGAAGGTAAGCTGCCCCCATACGAGGGCTTCCTAGAAACTTTGCTACGTAAGAAACACAGGACAGAGAGTGCGCAGGAGCGGGGGAGGTTGGGCTTGATATTTGCATCAAGAACGTAGGGCCTGCAGCGTGCAGGAGGCGTGCTTCCTGCATTGGCCATTGTAGTATTCCTGTCTCCCGCACTGCTTTCTATTAAGTTAGGAATGAAACGGAGTCTGCGTGCAGGAGTGGGAAACACAGGAGAAGCGTCCTGTGAGAGAGAAATGAATGGAAGGGCATTCCTTCCCGTCTGTTCTCGACAGGCGAGGGAACAACAACGTCGACTTCCTTGTCACCCCTCAGCACTCCCTTTACAAAAGGACTTTCCAGTCGCTTGTCCATGGTATTTTTCAATGGTGTTTTCTGACAGACACTGGGGAGCTTTGTCACTCTTCTTGAGATTAATTTTATAATGTTTTATTAAATGATTTTTCCTAAGAGGAGGACAGCAATGCAGCCGGCGCCAGCATGTTATCAACGCAGTCCTTTCCATGTGAGTGACTGCTCCTCTCGCTGTGCGGGTGGATCACACCACTGGTTAGCTGACGGTTGAATTTTGCTTTCTTTCTATTATATAAACCTATTTTTTTCCCCCCATTTCTATTCCCCTCTACTCCATTCTTGATTGTTATCTAACCATTTATTATTATCACAGTGTTTCTAAAATATAAGGAACAAAATGGAATCAGACTTAAGGGAAAGAAATGATGGCTGGCCTTCCTTTTAATTCTGTCCTGTGTGTGGACAGCACAGTCCCATAGGGGGCCTGGCCCGCCTCTTTCTAAGGGAGCATGTCTGTGCGACAGGCTGCGAAATGCATGCTCAGGACAAGTGGGTAGAGGACCCTAAGATTCTGAGGCTCTAGCTAACCTCGGGATTGGGGATTTTGCTTGTTAGCATATTTTTTAGTTTTTTATGGAGCCGGTCATTCAACCACTCAGCCGACTCCAAACCAGGACCTGGCTCCCTTACCTCCCTGCCAATTAGCGAAGTGCTGTTCCAGGTCAAAGGTGAGACAACTGGAAGCTCTGCCAACATAGTACGTCTCTGGATTTGGGGAGAATTTGGGCTATTTTCTTATTCCAATGAGAGGTATTTCTTCATTTATCACTAGCTGGTCCAAATAGTGTGGAAATCTTTCAATATTTAGTCAATGTAGCCAAATGCAGTGCCTTAATTAAAAAACACACACACACAAAAAACCCTCAAGCCCACAGCAGAAATCACCCAGATAAACCGTCTATATTTTCCAACAAACCTGGAAACTATGCCCTTGCGTGGGCCCACAGTCACAGCCCAGCAAGTAATAAACTCTATTTTTTCAAGTAGAAGTCACAGGGCAATAAAGAACCTGACTAGAGCAGACATTTATTTCAAAGCTATGGTGCCTGCGTCTAGGAGAAAGTTCAAGATCTTTGAATCTGTTCACATGGCAAGAACTTTCCTGCACGTGAATGTCTGTGTCCTTCCATTTCAGATTGGCGCAATGAGCCAGCAGGTACTCAGCTCTCTTCACTCCTTTAACAAAGGCCTTCGAACAAAGAGCACATTGGACCTGGCCAGGCACGTGTGCGGAAACAGGTGCCCTTTACTGCGAGGGCCTGATCTTCCCCAGCCCTCACCTGTCTCTCTGTCAGCTCTCCTTGAGACCCCTTGGCCCTTCCTCACCCCTCCTCCTAATAGTCCTGTCTCCTTGTGTGTGGCTTTCTCTGTTGATCAAGTGTTACCGAATGAATTCAGTTTTACTTTAGCCTGACTTTGGCCATGCGTTTATACATATGTAAGTCACTGTTTTGGTCAAAAAAGAGATGAAAGACCATTTTAAGGCATCTCTTAGTTTTCTTTCTCTCTTCCCCTTAATCTCACTGCTGCTATTCCACCACTTCTTGACGGCAACCGTGTGGCTGGGTGTTGGGGGGCCTTCCCATTGCAGACTCGGGACAAGGCCACCACGGACTCAGGGGGGAGGCCGGCTCCAAAATGCATTATTTCAAGCCCCATCTCACATGTCTTTGATCCTCATCTTCTGTGCTGTTTCTGCTACTTTAAAGGAGTTGCAGTAAAAGGAAATTATTTTTAAAAAGCTGATAAAATATACAGCTACTTAAAAGATACAAGCAGCAACAAAGCCTACCGTTCACTTTTGTTGGTTTTCAATGTATGGCTTTGATTTATGGATCACAACCGCCCCTTCATTATTTTATCTCCCCGGCTCCAGGCCACGCTGACAGTTAGAATGTGGTTTTATTGACCAGCGCAGCCAATGTGCCCACGAGGGACTGTGCCCACAGCCTGCTGCCCGCGGAAGCGATGAGTTTGATTCCGTGACTGAGTCAGATTGGGAATCGCAACCAATTGAACAATAAGTTCCAGATCCCAGTGCCCAAGGCGAGAGGTCTGCGGTACCACACAATCGTGCTTTGATGGGGGAGGGGCAGGACCTTGGGTGGAAGTTTGAAGGCGCAATTGGATGGGCTTTGGGCTGCATCCATATCAGTCCATCGAAACTGGGGAGCGACAGGAGGGGGGAGGTAGGCGTGTTTTCCTAAAGACCTAGTGCCCCAAACTAAAGATTAATGAGCAAAATGCCTAAAAAGCAAAAGGAATGCCAGTGACTGAGACAACAAACGGAATGAGAAAGTTTCCTAGTGCTACTGCCAACCTTTCACCTCCCGATGAGCAAAACGTCACTGAAGAACTACTTTTTGGAAGATCGGGGTCACCTCCCCTGGTGCCTGGGCACAGACAGGGGCACACATGCTCGCGAGGGTGGGAGGCCGGGTTTAACCTGGGCCCCTCAACCACAGACCACCTCCGTGGCCACCCGCGCGGTGTTAATCTAGTCTCTGACGCCAAAGCCCTAATGCACACAAGCAGACGTCCGAAGGGTAACAAATCAATAACATGTCTAATTTGATTAGCCAGGGTTTCCAAGTCTCAAGACAGCTCTAACTCGACACAAGCAGGCGGGTAAGCAGATAAAGAAGGGCACTCACTTGTGAGAATTTTCCAAGTCTTCTTTTCGTCGTCGTAGTACTGAACCAGGTTGCTGGGGAGGCGGTCCGGCCCGGGAGGCAAGCCTCCAACCAAGAGCAGCATCTTCTTGTTGGAGCGAATTCTTCACCCAAAACAAAAGAGGAGAGGAAGAACTAGGTTATCGTAGAGCCTTCTGAGTGGCAGCGGGATCATAACCATCAGAAGGATGTTCCCTGCCTGCAAGATTTCTATTTCATTTTTTTCCTGTTTCTTCTCTCATTCATGTCTCCACGATTTTTTTTTTTTTTTGAACCAAGCAGAAAAATGATCAGGAGAGACCCATATCCCCATACTCACAGAATAATAAGCTCCCTTTATGCAATTTGTTAGAAGTTCATTCTAGAACGACCTTTTTCTTATATTATCCCTTTAAATCATCACTCTTTACAGCCGAGTACACATGAAATGCTCCGGAGTTGTACTAAGGTTAAGCATTCGAGTTGCATGTCAAAAAATCGTATTAGTCAAAATCATTATGATAAGCCATTCTCCACTCAAAGAACCTTGAAAAAATTAAGGTTATGCAGAGACTTTGTGAGCCAACTCTTTAATCACCCCGGGGGAACTTAAAATACAAGTTTGGTACAATTAGCGGCATGGGGCTCCCTGGGGTGGGTTAACCAGTAGGATGGGGACTTCTTATTTGTTTAACTTAGCTGAGCCTTTCTTTACCCCTTCCCAGCGCCCCTCCCTTCTCTGCCCCGCCTGCCACCCCGCCATCACCATCCCTGGGCACCGCTGGTGACACAGCAGCCCCCATTGGTAGAAAGGAGCCTGCGAGGCTGTTTGGAGCCTCCCCAGGGTGGAGCCCTGCCAGTGCCTGCCACTGCTCCAGCGCATGAACCTGCTCAGCTGTGCAAAGTCACTCTAATTCCCTCCCTCTGTTTTTCTACCTTCTCCCCCAGGGGGCAACCACCGAAAGGAGTGACTACCCACCCATCAAGAGCTGGCAATTCGCTGCTATTAGCCGTGACTGTGATTCCCAGGCTGCCCGGCAGTTCCTGGGAGCAGGCCTGCCACGTCTCATATGCAGTAAAAGCTGTAAGAGGCACCCTGGCCGGCAAGCGAGGCCTGATGGATGGATGTACATCCTCGGGAGCAGGGATGGGCTGAGCACACTTGCCAGGGGAGTTGGGAGGGGAAGCCTGGACCCCTACAAGGGGCCTGCTGGTTTAACGGGCGCTTTACATACAATTGACCTTTTCATTCACCTGAAAGGCTGAAGGTGTTCGTGAAAGAAAGGGAACAGCTATGATGGAAGGAAAAAGTCAACAAATACAAAAGGGCTCCTGGTAAGTAAGATCCCAGCCCCAGCCTGCAGGGTGGCTCCGATTCTATTGTTCCCTGTTCGGCAGGTCCTTCAGATTCAAGGATGCTCGGAGAAGGATGCCCTTGTGGAGAAGCACTGTTTGTTGGTTAAGAACCTAACATTCTGAGAGTTAACTTAAAACAGTTAATGCTGTTCCCATGGGAAGGAAGGGAACAAGAGAATTCCTTTAGTGAAACTCTGGTGCCATTGAACGCATCGCGGATGCCTCAGCAGGAAAAATACCTCTGAAGAAACTCCTATTAGGAACTCACGGGTAGGAGGGGCCACGCTTACAGAAGAATGCCTAACAGAGGGCCAGCTTGCAATGTTAATTTGGCCACAGACAAAAACCACCTCAATTTCTTTGAATTTAAAGTATTTTGGATTTGTGCCCTTATAGACCAGTAGTTGGGAGGTGAACACAGAATTCAATAGCAAAGAGGGCCGTATTTTGAGGGCTTCAATGATTGGGGTGGCTTGTCAAGAGGGGTTAAGAAAACTCATTGTAGTAAGTATTATCACTTACTTTGAAGTGATACATACATGATTGATGTATCATATAATCTAAATGCTTGGTTACAGAACTAACATAAGACTTTTATTTTTATTTTTTATTTTTATCACTGTAGTTTTAGCTCAAATAAGCAGCCACTCTGTGAGTACAAGAGAAGCCAAGATGACAAGGAATACTTTTTTTAGGTTGCTGTCAGTTGCCATGTGTAGACAGACCTGTTCAATGGGAAGTTATGATTCTATGGCATGACACATGTATGTGCTGCCAGACATGGGTAGGAGCAGATGGATCAATATCTGCCAGTTAGACATGAAGGAAAGGACTCATCGAAGTGATGGTGCCACCAGAGCAATAACATTTAATCCTTATCTTAATATTTAAATTAATATGCTGCTTGTAAAATTTGGTTCACCAGTGACAAAGGCAGATAACTTCATGGCTCAAGTGTGTGTGTAAGGTCATTTTATTCATTGATCAGGCCAACTTCCCTGGACCAATCCTCTGGTGATTTCCAACCCTGACTTACCTGGACCATCTCTGAAGACAGAATCTAGAGTCTTGGTCTTCTCCGCCCCAAGTCATTACCACCTGACCTCTAAGAACTGGACTGAGACTACCAATATGAAAGCCACCGAGCAGTTGGCAAATCTAACGCCTAGCCCACCAATAATGACCTGCTTCAAAGGGTGAGCTAGCATAGCAGCAAGGAAACGCTCTACACAAACCAGGTTAAATCTCTAAACCATCCAGGCCCCCCGGGAGTGCGATGGGGAATTGCATGGAGTAAGGAAGGAAAGTCCCACCTGCCCTCCTGCTGTGTTGTCTGTGAAGGACCAGGACTGTGAGTGCATTATGTGTGGCCTTCTTCATGGTGGATGACACACACTGCATCTTCTGCATTGTTTTTATATCAGCATTCATTCAATCTCTTATGGCATTTTACGAGGAGAGAATTTTGTTTCTAAAGCTTGTCACCCACTCTTGATGTTATTTAACTCTAAAGTCTAAAACTCTACCTTGTGAAGGTGATCACATAGAAAACAAAAAACAGGATAGCACAGGAGAAGCAGCACAGTACAGAAGAAGCAACACATAAAATAACAAAACAGATTTGGGTGTTTTTCTCACTATTTTCTCTGTAGACTCTCAAGACAGCCCTATGTGGTAGGTATTAAAACTCCATTCTACAGAGAGTCAAGAAAGTTCCCATAGTCAAACCAAGAGGCAGAAACAATGTCCAGATCCTTTACTGGGCCAATGTCTTTTTAAAATTCAAATTTATGCCCAGCCAGTGTGGTCAGTGGCTAAGCGTCAACCCATGAACTAAGAGGTCACCGGTTCGATTCCCAGTCAGGACGCATGCCCCCTTGCAGGCTGGATCCCTAGCGGGGGGCATACAGGAGGCATCCAATCAATATTTCTCTTCCATCAATGTTTCTATCTCCCTATCCCGCTCCCTTCCTCTCTAAAAATCAATAAAAACATTTTTTAAAAATTCAAATTTATTCTTTAAAATTTACTTTACTATAGTTTCTAATTTAGACCCAACTTCCTGTGTTAATTTTGCTATTTATCAGAGTGACTTTATATAAATTACCTGGCTTCTTAGAGACCATGTTTTCTTAGCTTTAAGTAGACAAATAATATCTAGCCCTCCCGCTCAAAAGATTGTCATGAGGACTGTATAAAACAATTAACTGAAAAATTCTGTGTAAACTCTAAAGTAAATTATTATTAACCAGTCTTTAGATATTGACAATATAATGTGGGCTTTATTTCAACAAGCCAAATTTTATTAAATAGTTAAAAAAGAAAAGTAATATTTTTCACTGAGATTCTTATTGAGTTTATGTGTAGAAATACAAGCTAATTAAGAGGACTTCATTACCAGTTGTTATCTTATAATTATGTTCTTAGAAAATTATTACTTTAATTATATTGGCTATCTTTTGAACCTTGTTACAAGAAAGTATGCATTTGGGCATTATATAAAACTATGAACCTTCCTGGATCCAAATAATGGAACCTAATAAAGATTACTCCACATTTCTTAAGAACAAAACAAATGAGAAAAACCATAACATATTTTACATTGATATAAGTGCAATGTCAACTATTCAATTACTCCTAGAAAGTAATGCATGTGAATAATTCCTGTAGAGAAGCTCCCATTCTTTTTACAATTGCAATTACAATAGTGACAATGACAATAATGACAGATAATAATGATGTGTATTGGACATCGAAAACTCTAATTATCATGCTATTTGTATGATGTATGTGAGCTTCAATGTGAAAACACCATGAAAAAAAATAAAAGGTACCTTGTGAACTAGAAAAGTAAAATTAGGAGAATCCGAATTAACTTGCTAAAGTGGGTTTCAGTTATTCTTCCCTAAATAATTCCAGCAGAGCCTTGCAGGTTTAATTTTAGACTCGGCAAAATCTACGAACATATTAATAGCACTACTGCCATAGGGTTCCTTCATATGGCAACATAGAATGCTTTTTAGAAGTTCTTTATATAGGGAAAAATTTAGCCAAGATTAGTATGGTCTCGTCAAATATATTAATATTTTAAAAATAATTCTCTTTGCTCAGTATCTTAGTACCACTTTGACCAAAGTAATGTATTGAAAGATAAGCAATTAGATAAAATTAAATAGCTGAGTATGTCATGATGAATAATAATATTTGGATGCCTTTGATTTGAGTTCCTAGATTCTTGCAGAGACAGATATAAGGTTAAAAAGGAGAGGGAACCTGAGCTTCCTTTATTCCGGCTCAGTAATTGCCCAACATTTAGCATGTGTCACATCTGCGCGTGTGTGCGTGCATATGTATGTGTGTGTACCCTGCGCACACGCACTTGGGTTCCCTGGCTGAGTGACTGAAGGATGACCTAAAACCTCCTGGTGTAAACAAATTTTTCATCGTACTGGTTTTCTAAATGCAGCAAAGTCTCATTTATTTTTATTTCAGTGATTTGGAACCTTGATAATTGGGAAACAGCCAGATAAAGTTTTTCTTTCCGTGATACACAAGTAAGTTTTCACTGACCAGATGGAAAGGAAAATGTTCTGAAGCTATTTAAGAAATCAGGTGGCCTGCTGGCACGAATACACATTTGGACTAAATTCATTGGACAAATTATACGTAATTCTCATTTATTAAAGAATATATCCTGCCATGTTCTAAGCATCATGGAATCAGAGACTTAGGAGAGAACTTTGGAGTACCTCATTCAGGGACCCCAAGT